GAAAAGGCACTTACCCTGCCTGGCAGAGCAAGAAGACCTCAGTGCAGATGACATTTGTTCTGGGCCTGGAAGGATGAGCAATTTACTTGTCAGAAAAGAGGGTGAACAATGCAACATCACCCAGCAGAATGGCTTGTTCAAAGCCACCGAAGCACAACAAAGAAAGGTGTGTTCGAAGAACCTGAATCAGAATGTAGATAGGACATGAGACAAAGGTGAGATAAGTGGCAGGAGAGAGGTCTGAGTGGAGGTAAGATCCCGATTATGAAGGGCTGTCCATGTGGGGCTTAGGAGTTTGCATTCTGTCCTGCAGGTAGAGAAAAATCACAAAACACGTTTATGTGGGTTTAAGTCATTTAGAAATGAAACCACTTTTTCTGCTTTGAATTTATATATCCAGTCCAGTCACCCCTTAAGTTTATAGAAGCATTATATTAGCTACTCTGGAGCAGACAAGAGTTCTCTCTGACCAGCCCTGGCACATATGTGAGCCAAAGCAACCTGGATTTCCGAGGCATTGATTGAGCCCTGACATCTCTCTTAAACATAGTCATTGAGCTGTGGTTCCTCGCTGTGGCTGGAAGCATAGCCAAAAGCTGCTTTATTGTGAGAGATTGTGGCTTTGACAATTACATGCACCATCACTGCAGGGCTCTTTACTTCACACAGGTGAAGGCGCTTGCCAACACACGCTCCATGTTTTCATATTTTCCTCATTGGGTAATTGCAAAATAGGCGATTCCTCCTAAATGCAGCGAGATTGATTTCACCCAAACTGCCGACTGGCTAATCAGTGGCCCAGTTTTCCAGCCATGTGATCTGGCATCTGGCATTTACCACTCATCAAATTAAATTACACAGCACTGATAATTTACCATCTCACAATTGGGCAGAACTTTTTCCCTTAAGCTCCCTTCTGCTTAATACTTGTATAATGTTTAGAAGTGTCGCAGTTGATCTATACAGGGATGTCAACTGGAAATGCATCGAAACTTTACCACAAATGTGGATTATAGGTGTGTGTGTAAATTATACATAGATACACACACATATGTATGTATATATATGTGAATATGTATGAATGAGTTATACCATTTATGTGAACTTTCCAGATACCTAAAGCTAAGTGACTATCAAACATTTTCTGTTGTGTTTTAAAAATTATACATAGACCCACATGTATGAATATATGTATGAATATGTATGAATGAGTTATTCCATTTATGTGAATTTTCCAGATGCCTTAAGCTAAGTAACTAATCAAACATTTCTGTTGTGTTTTACTTAAATCAAATCTTTATGGAAATGTTTCTGAAACTGTTGGAAGTGTGAGTTCTGGAGTTAAGTTTCTCAGTGTGAGTCCCTGTTTCTTCATCTACTAGCTTTCTGTCTTTGAGCAAGTGACAGTCTTTCTGAGCCTCAACTTTCTCATCTATAAAATGAAAATAAGCACAACACAAAGAGGGAACCCAAATGTAAAGTTGAGTTAGTAATAATATATCAATAGTAGTTTATAATTGTAACAAATGTACCACACTAATGTAGCATATTAATAATAAGACAAACTGTATGGGGGGAAGAAAGGGAATGAAAAAAAAGAAAAAGAAAAAGATGAGAATAATAGTAACCACCTCAGAGGGTTGCTGTGTGAATTAAATGGGATTTACATATAAAGTATCTGGTATGCAGTGAACATTCAAGAGATGCTAGCAATGAATACTTTATGCAAATTAGAATTGGTTCTTGAGAACTGGGGCCATCACTGTGAGCATTAATGATAGCTGATGCTCTTAGAGCCTATTAAGAGGTAAAATGTTATTTGCCCCCACACTAAATGGCCCCCGACTGCCAGGCTTCTTCCTAGTCCTGTCTGATTTTTGAGTTTTTACATTGCATCTCTGGCTTTCAGCCTATCAAGTGTCGGATTCTGAAATCACTAATATGTAGGAACCTAGTCATTTACTTTCTCCCTTAGTGTTTCACTGACAAATCAAATAATCCAATTTGTTAAAATTCTATCTAATGCAGGAATTTAAAAGTTCTAATTGAACACCCAAGTCTGTGCTTTATGTCTATACTATACGCTATTTTAGCCACTTAAAGATCTTATCTGCTTATTTCAAGATTATCTGCTATGTCTATGAAAGTTGATGTTGCTATAAAGTGACCTCTGGAAAAGTGAGAGCATTGTCTTAACTTTTTATGTTTGTATCTGAATGACACAGGTCTCTAGAGGTCCCTATCTTTAGAGGTTCAACAAAAAAAATGAGTAGCACCTCCTTTTTATAAAGCAAGATATAGCATATAAATTTAAAATATCTATGCAAAGTTTTTTTGCTTTTGAAAATTATAAAGGCATATACTAACTCAATCTATCCTAGAATAAAAATCTCAGCACCATAATCCAAATAGCATATATAACATTTCTTGGTTTTTTTCTTTTTAATTTTTAAACAGGTAAATCTTCATAGGCTTTACCCTGTTACTCTCCATGAAAACGCCTATATCAGAGAGACTAGAAAAGCCATGTTGTAGTCTGTGTCAACCCCCTAAGCTGCTCAGTGAAGCAGTCCCAAGTGAAACTGC